ATATCCCTAGGATTGAAGTTCGGAATAAACGAAGACCATCCCGTACCAATGCCTTCACTGCCATTGACAAGTATAGTTGGGATGACGGGTACATAGTACTTGGGTTCAATTTTCTGTCCCTCTTCATAAAGGTATTCAAGCAAAGGGTCGTCTGCCTCGGGGAAGACAAGCCGCGTGTAGGGTGCAAGCTTGGTGAAGATGTAACGGGGGGCAGAGGCATCTTTTCCTCCTTCTTTTCGAGAGCCAAATTGTCCTACTGGCTCCAGAAAGTTAAGGTTGTTGCTGCCTACAAACCGCTGCGCCATGGTGATGATAGTTTGCTGCAGTGACTGCTCTCCATGGTGGTAGGCGCTCTGCTCCGCAACGTATCCCGAAAGCTGCGCCACTTTCATCTCGGCTTTTGTGTTTTTTTTGAAGACCGCAAACAGCACTTTACGTTGCCCGACTTTCCACCCGTCTACAAGCTGAGGGATGGAGCGTTCATTGTCATATCGCGAAAACTGAACCAGCTCTTTATTTACAAAATCTGAAAACGTCAACTCTCGCATAGAATGGTCAACAAAGGTTCCTTCTCTGTAACCCTGCAGCCAACGCTTTCTGTCCTCTGCCCGCTTCTTGCTAAACGCCATGTCAATTAGCTCCCCATCTCCACTGCCTAAAGAAAAACAACGCATTCAGAATAAACTCCCGAACCAAATGCCAAAATACGGGCAACGAAAAAAAAAACCTAGAGAAGAGCCCAACGAATTGGCTGTGTAACATGGGGCCTCTCACACCACAGAGAAAAAACACAAAACAACGGGGTAAAAGGGCAGCCAGCGAATATTCACCTGTCCATCGGAACTTAATTCGGTGTTTATCAAGAGCCTGAAAATAATCCTTGAACTCCCTATCTGTCGAGGTACCCAAACCCTGCAACCAGTCAACAAAGTGAGTGATGATCAACTGAAGTCTGCATAAAAATCACGGTCTCCTTTAGGAATATTTAATGTTTGTACGGCACTTTGTGCTGTCCGTTATGTATTGTATTACACGGTTTGAGATCACTGACTTTGTAGTACTTTATTTTCCACCCAGAAAGATTTCCCGCTTGCTTTCTCCACATGTCGTATTCGACAAGAGTGAAAAATGCCTTTTCAACTGAGCCCTTAGAAACCTGCATAACAAGGGAGACAAACAAAACCAGCAATGAGCCCAAAACCCCCATTTCCAGTCGTCACCCAATGCATCTGCTTTCTCTAAGAAGCATATACTATCGAATATGAGCTTGCCTTGACAATAGGCGTAACAAACTCCGTGAGGAAATGGTTGCACTGCAACAATTGCGGCCAGTAGTGGTGCAGCATGTTAATGAGCAGCCCTTTTATGTGCGATCCGTCGTAGTCCTGCAAGCAGAGCGAACCGAAGAGGCTTAGTAAAACTGAAATGCTTCATACAAGGAGGAAAACACTAAATAAAAACGTAACTGTAGACAAGTGCAAGAGGCAAGAAAACACGCACTTGATCTGTCATAATCATAAGCGAGCCGTAACGCAGACCCCGGGTATCTTGCACTTTGTCGTTAATCTGAAGCCCAAGGATCCTT